GGAAAGAGAAGATACAATGATGAGATGAAAAAAGAAAATGAGCGAAAAGAGTAATAAAAATTCCTGGAAAAAGTTTATGATATCATTTATGAAATTATTGGAGAACATCAAAAATTCATTAAATCACTCTTCATTGAGCAGATCAAGCTAAGAGAATGTATCGGGGCCAAATTGAGCAGATCAAGCCTAAATATGCCAGCATAGCAGCCATAAGACTTTAACAACCAAGTTTATAAAATCCCTTGTAAAGAAATAAAAGAATGGTAGCAAGAAGGCAAGCAACAATCCAATAAATTAATGTTCTCAAATTATAATCATAAACATTTGGAAGTTGAAACATATAGCAGAAACAATCAATGCCAAACTCACCAAATTGCTGCTTAACCTCAGGACTGCTGAGATCAAAATTTTTTAAAGAATCCACCATCCGGCTGTCCCATTCACTGCTTCCACTCATATTATTTCTGGAAAAAAAAATACAGCTAATGAAGTTAGATCCATGAAAAACTGGCTCTTCATTGGGCTATGCTTATAATAAAACTTATCAGTAGAAAAGCACCTTGCTGAACATTAAGAAAAAAAAAATAAAAAATTATAATAACAGAACATCCAATTCAACTGGACAAATAACTCCACACAAACTATTGACACATATTTGATGTGAAGGGAATGCATGCAGAAATTTCTGATATCAAAGCATAAAGCAAACGGTTTTAAAATATCATTCAGAAACCTGATGCATTGAAATCCCCAATCCAGATGATTTGTAATATCAGTGAGAAAACAACAGAGATTAGCACAATAGCATCTCATAATGGTTAATGATATATTCATAAATTTCATCAACACACCACGCTTTCATATACTACGAAAGAATCAAAAAATAAGACTCAAATATCATCAAGGTCAAACACGCTGTCAACATTAAGCATCATCAAACAAAATTAACTGCAAAAGAGCTGGAACAAGTGCTTACAGCATTTCTTCCAATTGTTGTCGGTATTGTGGATTTTGCAGCATCCCTATTACATAGTCATAGTGCACAGCACAGAAAACCATAATGTGTCAACAGATATTCACACTTAATCTAGAGTTGCTAAAATTAATGAATTTTGCATTTGGATAGGAAAAACAAACCCAGGCTATTGGTTGCATCAACAAAAGTAATAACAAAATAGCAGTGAGCCATGAAGGAAGACAACCAACTCAAGATCCCCGCCCACCCCCCTCAGAAAAACAAAAGCTATGCAAACATCTAAATTGAAAATACATTACATGCGAAATAATTGACCTGATAATGATAGCAAATCACATCCATAAAGAAAGGACATGCAATGAACTTGAATTCCCACTACCTACACAAATTGTGCACTACATATTTAAGCATTCACTTAAACACCGATGATTTTGATACCATGCTAGACAACAAGAAACCATGTCTATGATGCAATATATTTACAACATTCTCAAATACTACATCCAAAGTAAACCTCCTCAAGAGAATATGCATCAATGAAGGTTTGACTTACATTTGAAGGTGGTAGGGTTCCTCATTTCCTCAGGTAAATACCTGCAAGGATATGAGAAGAATCAACTGTAAAAAGAAAACATGAAATGGGGCATCTAATTTTACAGGGTAATTAACCATAAGTAATTCAGACAAACTAAAAAGTAAGGCCCAGCATATGTTTATATGAAAAAAGAGCAAGAAGAGAACTAACATGGTCACTGAAGTTAATTGCAAATAAAGAAATTCTAGGAGAATGGAACAGCAGCACAATGAATTTACAACACTAGGGAAAGCACAAAATGATTTTGTTTTGAGGAAAAGAAGCTATATTACGGATAAACCATCTTTTGCACTGTTGGATCGTCCATCATTTTCTCCAAAGCTTCCACGGATAAGAAAGATCCTGCCTTTTCTGTCCATGAATAAATATCAACTCAGAAAGCTTTTTTTTTTTTTTTTTTAATATCAGAGAATACTGAATGGGAATTAAGGCCATAAATAGCAATCAAGCACACAGTGTCATGTGGGAAAAGTCAAAGGCTATTCCATGTTCCCACCTGAAATCATCCTTAAACTACAACTGCATACAGCTCTGAGTGAGAAATTGCTTCATTCATATCACTTATCAAGAGCAGTGTGACATGATGAGCTAATACAGTTGGATGTAAATGGATGATTCTCTACACAACAATTATATCACTTATCAAGAATAGGACATGATGAGCTAATACAGCTGGTGTAAATGGATGATTCTCTACAAAACTATTGGATCTGAATGGACAATTCCCTATACACATGCATATAGCAATACCATGGCAATGCAAGCAATTACATTATATGCAACTGAAAATCATCAGCGCACTAAAACAAACAATGAAATTCCCAAGAGGTTAATCTTGAATAGCCACACTACATGTTCAAACAGGCTTTCAAATCCTACCACCACCTGCTAAGGATTTTTATTAATTGCATATTTCCTTTTAAAAATGGATATTGATCTTCGCATCATAAATGCTTTTAAGTTTTGTGTTTTCTGCTAGCCTAATATCCAACCCAGTCTCCTATTTTCTTATAGCAAACATTTCTGATGACCCTCAAGTAAAAACTGTTTAGGCTTGAAACTTGCACATGCCTACATAACCTTGTGTTTAATTTTTTTATTAAATAAATAAAGATGGTAAGATTCAAACTCGTAACCGCTTGTTCATCAAGGGTCTAATATTATGTCATATAACCAATTTAACCCAAAATCTTAAGTTATTAGATGAGGTATCAAGATATGATTTATATTATTCTCTAATAGAACTAGAATATCAAAACACTAATAGATATTACAAGTTGACTTCATAAGCCCATGAATTCCTGGCTTCATGATTAGAAAAAAAGTAAGAACACATAAAAGTAACATATGTGAACTGCAAAGAAGAAATGGCAAGATAAGTAGTGTATCACAGGATAATGAGTAGTTTTAGTTGTCTTTTTTACTTACGACTAGATTGAGAACCCTCAGAAGCACCTGGGCCCTGCTTAAAAGAAGCTCCATTTTGAGAGGACTGCATATAGTATTGAAATAATTACATCTGAAAAAGTTTAATATAGAATAGAGATAAGTTTCAACAATAAAGACTTACCTCCTTCGCAAACTGAACATCCTTGGATGAGCTTGTATCGATGACATCTTCAACACTTGAAAAAGGAGTGTTCAGCGAGGTTTCTTCAGGAGAAACATCCACAAAAGCTGCAAGTAGGAGCTGCATTACACTTTCTTATGGAGAACATTTCTAAAAATCTTATAAACAAGTGCCCAATACTAAATTGGGCAATAGAAGTTTAGCATTTCTTAAGGTATGTTCAGTTTTGAAGTTATAGATGTCCATGGGTGGAGCAAACAGAGAAGGAAATAGAGGAACATGAACAGGAAAAAAAAAGAAGGAAAGGAAATAAAAATAGTAGGGAAATTCAATATTTCTCAGTAACCAATAATCAGTCGTCAATCAGCCACATAGCAACCCCTAAACAGCATAAGGACTCACAACCAAAGATTCTGTCATACCGAATTTCCTTGGCTCCTCCTTTATCTCTCTTTCCTCCAGAGTATCAGTTTCCTTTTCCTTTCTAGCATCAGTTTCTGGAGCTGCTTCTACTTTTGAGGCAGGAATATCTACTGTGACTGCAGGTTGAGAAGCAGCTTGAAAAGGTGAGGTTGCAGGCTGTGATGCTGGTGGTGGAGAAAATGGAAAAGGTGACCTTGCAGAAAATGCGGGATTGAATTGGTTATTTTGTGCATTCATCTGCTCTGTCAAAGATTTGAAAGCTTGTTGCATGGCATAATTCTGAAAGAAAAGATGAGCATAAAGAAATAAGTTAAGTTAGATATGGAATGTTTATACATATCTCTAAACAAAGAGGTGAAACTTGGACTGATAAAGATGCATGCAAAATAGATTAGAATGACTAGTTAAATTATTTGCAAAGTTAATTGATTGAGCTGCAAAGATCATACTGTTTTCCTGAAAATGATATATGCTAAGCCAAAATGTTGTGTATACAGGGAAGGAGCAGTTGTCTTGAAATAAGCGAAAGAAGTTTAGAAAGGAACACGTGAAGGTCAAATGTAAAGCATGCCACTAGTAGAATTGAGGTCGAAGGTAGAATGTGAAGGTCCTTTAACTGAGGTCAAATACCACTAGTCTCAATGGAAATGCCCGCATTGAGGTCAAAGATCCTCTGGTTTTTAAAAAGTAGATCCCATAAGATGCAGTTATTTTTATAACATCTCTCCTCTAGGAGCTGAGACACATGATTTCTATAGCAGGCCGTAGGTACTAGAAAAAAACTAAATCACCAGAAGCTTCATTTATCCATGAAAATTGAATCAAGTCAAATTTAATTACTCAAAATATTTGAAACTACAAATTAGAGCAAATCATTGACAAAGGCAAGTTAGAAGAAAACACTGGGTTGAGAAATTAGAACAAATCTGAAGTACTAATTATCCACCTACAAAAGAAAGCATCAACCCCCTAACTACAAAATTTAATTTAAATGAACCTTCAATAGAGTTGAAATGAGAAGGAATAGAGCAGAGGACCTCAATCCAAACAAATCAATTTTCACAGAAGGAAAATAAATGTCATTAAATTTCAAAACACCATACAAAATTTAATTACATTGATGGATCAGTAGAAGGCTGTCTTGAAAGACTAGGGGAATGAAATGTACAAGCATCAAATTAATGGATTGAACAAAACAAAAAGGTGAAAAGGAAAAAAAATTGCGAGAAGTATGAAATAGGGAAAAACATAGTAGGACGGACTAAAGCTAAGAGGGACACTGAGGGGAAAACAGGGCAGACTTTTAAGAGAAAACAGAATGAGGAAAGAAGCATCTGAAAATTTAATATGAGACAGAGACATGAATTTGTCGCTGACCTTGAGGAAGAAACTGAAAAATGAAAAAGGATGGGAAAAGGAAATACTTATGCCATCTATCACTGCACCAAATATACACAAATTATTAGTCAGAAACTCTCAACAACTGATCCTAAGTGAACTAGGAACCTTTAAACCCCAAACTTGACTCTAAATCCCAATTCTATAGCACACAAATTGATCGGTAGTTAGGAAATTAAAAAAAACTCTACAAGGAATAGGAGTCAATGACATACCAATTTCCACACCTTAAATTTTACAAGCTCCTTACTACGAATTTCTTTCCATAAATGCAACATCAAACGGTGACAAGTAATATACGATAAAAAAAAAATCCTCGGCATCATTCCATTGCATGGTTGCTCAGCAAGAAGACCAGAAAATTCAGCAAAACACAGACATTTGTACCTTGCGGGAGATAAGAACTCACCTTTAACCGTGTAGCCACCTGTACATTTGATAAAACACAATGTTATACAACAAAGAAAAGAAAAAAATAACAAATGGATAAAAGTACATATAAAACAGTGATTCTCACCCATGAAAAAATTGCTGACAACGCAACACCAACTCCAACCCAAAACAGTGGCGATCCTCTACAAACACACAATCAAGAAACAAAATAAGCATCCATCCACACATAAAAACAAAGAACACCAATATAACAAGGGTAAGCCAATGCAAAGCAAGCTAAAAATCTGAGATGCTAAATGCTAGAAAGAGAATTCATTACATTTGTGAAGGCGGTGGTGAAACTGACTGTGGATTAACTCCAACAGAAGCCGTCTGTTGTCCACTTGATGACGAAATGCTAGCAAAATATTCACTCCCTGATTTCCGTATCACATTATAACACAAACTTAGCAAAACCCAACAACCAAAATCATTAAAAGAAACAAACTTTAACGCAAAATAAAAATAACCCTACAATTAAAATCACAAAAGGAAGAGACTTTGATGTTAATTAGTAATTGAGGGGCTGAAAGTTACCATTTTTTGAGGTTCTACGGGGACCATGAGATTGGGAAAGGGCAGAAATGGAAATTCTCGAAGAATGAGGGACAGTTTTGGAAGTTCTGTGAGAGAAAGGAAGTGAGGGTCTGGTTGTGGATATGGAGAATTTAGGGGTGGTAGGGTTTTTGAGCGAAGTTGGGTATCCCATAACTAATTTAGGCGAAGAAGAAGAGAGAATAGACAATCTAGGGTTTTCCATGTTTCGGGGTTTGGATTTTGATTTCTAAAACCCTAAACCAGAGAATTAGAGCATGAAAAATTGGCAGAAGTGATTTCACTCTGGTCCGTGTGGTTTCAACGACGAGAGGAAGTGACAAGAGTGGACGGGAAAATGAAGCTAATTTTGTCAAACCCGGCACGGTTTGGGTTGAGCCCAGGCCAGTTAAATTGGTTTGATCCAAAACCGAGACCTAGAAATTGTTTAAAAGTGCGTCAGCTTTTATTGTTTAGGCTGTTTATATTTGTTTTTTAAAATTCGTTTTGAAAAAATTTGAAAAATTTATATTTGTTTTTTATTTTAAATTAATTTTTTTTATTTTTAGATTATTTTAATGTATTATTATTAAAAATAATTGAAAAAAAATATTATTTTAATACATTTATTAATGAAAAACATTATAAAAATAACCGTAATTACACTTTCAAATAAACTTTTAATATTTTTAAAAACCATTAAATTTTTAATTTTTAATAATTTTTATAATTTCAATGAAAAAATAATTAATTTTTAAATAAAAAATATTTTTAAAAAATATTTTTCATCAACAAATACATTATAAATATAAATTATAGAGTTTTTTCAAATGTGTATTGAGATGTATATGTTTTTTGTTGAAAAAAAAATATAAGATAAATTTATTTTTATAATAAGAAGGATAAAAATATGTTTGCCAGTATAATAATTATTGTTTTTTAAATAACTTTTCATGTTAAAATATATATTAATTATTTTTTTTATTTTTTAAAAAATTATTTTTAATATTAGCACATCAAAACAATCCAAAACATGTAAATCATATTAAATTTTAACAAAAATATTTTAAATTTTTTGAAAATATAGGTTAAAGCACATTTCCAAACAGTTTCTAAATATATAGATTCTTGTTTCATTTCTTGCATTTTAAGAAAACTACAAAATTATAACCTAAGTTGTATTTAATTAATATCAATATAAAAAAAATGTTTGATTGAAAAAAATAAAAAGTAAAAATATTAATACAATAACTCTAGAAAGAATTTTTTTATTATTTTAAATAAAAAACAAAAAACATATAATGTTTTGTTTTCATTGCATTTGTTTTTGTGATTAAAACTATGTTTCGGTGTGTTTTGTAACATTGATATTTTTTAATAATTTTAATATAAAAATATTTTTATATTTTTTTAAATAAAAAACATTTTTTAAAAAATTATTCATATCCTTGTACAAACGCTACCTAGCGGACTTAAAAAAAAAAAAATCAAGCCTAGTCCTCGTCCATTGTACCAGCACAGATTCTAGGCCCATGGCCTATATAAAACAATATAAATAAGGGACAACTGTCACAACCCATGAGAGAAAGCAAAGGCGCCCCCCCCTCCCCACGCCTTAAACGCGTAAACTTGGTCTCCAATCTTCCCCTGTCTCTCCCCTCTATAAATGCCCCTGCCTTCCTCGAGACCCATCCCTCGATCTCTCAAAAATAAATCCCTAGAAAAAAGCGCTGGATCTCACCCTCGATAAAAATCCCCTGTCTAAACCTTGAATCCCCAGTTTCTCTCCCTCCCTCTCTCCAGATCTCACCCCGATCTTTAATTCTCTAGAGGTACTCACCGTCTCCTCTTCTCTCGGTGTTATGTTTTTAGGGTTTCGAATATTCCAAGGATCTTGACTTGTGTTTGTTGGCTGAGTTATTGATTTCAGTAGATTTATGCTTCAAGGGACTTAAAAGTTTTCTTTTATTTTCTGCTTTTTTTGGGGGGTTTTTGTTCCTTTTCATGTCAGAGGCTCCGTTTGTTTGTTTAGGGATTTGAAGCTGTGGGATTTTGTGATTTTTTTTTTTAAATCTTACATCCGTAATAGCGGCAATTGAGGTTTATTTTGTTGCTTCACGCATGATTCGGATCTAATATTTCTCGACGAGGAATCTTTGTATATTGACGAGAAATTGGAGTGAACAACAAAAAACCAGAACTTAAGGGTTTCTTGTTTGTTCTTGAATGGTCAATGTTTTAGTCCGAGTGTTTGAACTTCTGAAATTCATTTTATAACTATTTAAAGTTGTGTTTTTTTTTTGTTTTAAAGTTGTTTTTTTCTTTCTTTTCCTATTAGAAATATGACTTTCAGCATGTTAGTTAAATTTGTTTGTTTTATGTTGTTGAATGAGCATTTTGGTAAATTGTTGGGTTTTTTGTGACTTTTTCCAGAGATCGAGACCGAATTCTATTACTCTTGAGTGTTAAAGTTACAATATTTAGTATCTGGCACACTTTTGCTTGCTTATATATAGTTTCTGTTGAAAATCTTATTGGTGTGGTGGAGACATTAACAATATCTATTGTTAATTTGTCTTTCTAACAGTTGGGTTGTAAGGGACTGTTGGTGAATGTTGGCTAAGCATGTATTATTTCTTATGCCAATGTTTTGATGCTGACCATTGCATTGTCTTTTCCTTTGCATCTTCACATAGCAGGTTTCTTACTGCTCATTTTCTCAAAAACGTTTGTGCTGCTGCTGCAATTTCAATGGCTGCAACTGTGGATATGTCTCTTGATGACATTATAAAGAAAAACAGGGAGAGAGGTAGAGGACGAGGTAGGGCCAGCCGTGGACGTGGCCATGGACCTGTTAGGTCCTTTAATAATGGAAGGATGTCAGGGGCTGTTCGTAGAGGCCCTCTCTCAGTGAATACTTGGCCATCAAAATACTCCATTGCTAAGGCAAGCTCAAAACTGTGGATGGTATATGCATATGATTCAGAACCTTCTAGGATTATGAAATCTAAATGGAAGGGATCTCTATTATGCTAAAAGTCAAAATACAGTGGATCTTAATATTAATTTGTTCATGGCGAAGCTCACTTGGCCTCATCCACTAAAGCATTACTGTTTGTTGCATTTATATCACTATCTTGGGATTTAGCTGTACTTTTGGGTTATTGGGTCTATATACTGGGGATTTTCCACAGATCTGATATGATGTGAGTTTGTGCAGAAGTTTTTCTGGTCCTCATCCAGTTATCATTCTACTTCCTGGCATTTTATCCTGGGCTTCATAGGTGAATATTTGGGAATGGAGTTCGCACCAGTAGCATAATGTCAGTTAACAATTAGTCCTCTATATAATCCAAATTATACAGTTCTAGCTTTTGACTTGTTTAGACGGAAAGATTATGATGGATCCTCCTGTTATGTGTGGAATTTCTTCGGTGCGAGAACTCATCTCTCCTAGTTCATGGTGTTTTTGCAAAGGAGTTCCTTCGCTTAACTTCAGAACTGGAGCTCTCACCTATATCATAGCACTGGTTTTCACATACAGTGGGTTGAATCCTTTACTCCTATCTGCCATCTATTAATTCAACCTCCTGAAGTTTGGAGACATGGTTACGTGATCTTTTTACTAAACTGCAGTTGCTTTTTATCTTTTGGGAAATTCCTCAACTGAGATTGATATTGGAGATGGTGAACTTGTTATGGAAATAAGCTGACATGTTCTATTTGATATCATCAGCCTTCTCGCAGAGTTAGGAGTTTGCCTTGGCAGCATGATTTGCTTAAGGATAGCATTAGAGCTGCTGGAATAACAGGAGTAGAAGTTGGAACCAAGTTATATGTTTCAAACTTGGATTATGGGGTGACCAACGAAGACATAAGGGTACAACTTAAGCTATATGTTTTCATCATAGATGCTCTGTGTGATGTTTTGGCTTTCTAAAATAAGTTTTCTGGGAAACTCAGGAGCTCTTCGCAGAGGTTGGAGACCTGAAACGATATGCTGTTCACTATGACAAAGATGGTCGCTCTAGTGTAAGCTCAATTTCTTAATATCTGAATTTAAATTATGTTAGTGCTGCTACCAGTTGGTTGGATCTTGAATATCATTTGATTCTGTCTGGAAGTTTGTTTTTATATCATTTAATAATTATGAGTTGTATGTTAAAGGCTGGGAGGTTTCATTAATCATGTGCTAACCACAAGGAAGAGTAATTGCTTGCATTTGCCTGCATTTACAAGGACATGTGATTATCTAGTGAAATCATGAAATCTCAAATCTGGATGTGTTTGCTATGAGATGAAAAATAGGGGTGAATCATTTTATTGTCAATGGAAAGAGGGAGAAAAGAATATCTATAACGAAAAACGAGAAAAAATTATTAACTGGAGAAAAGGTATTGAATACTAGTGGAGTAACAATCACTCCCCACTACACAAGGGAAACAACTACTCCAATTTCTGAGGGGGGTTTGTTAACTCCATGATTGTTGCAAGGGTAATGATTGCAGTCCATTATACCTCGCCAAACACATTCTTAGTGTTATTAAGATAGTTCTTCCAGCCATGTAAGAAAGTTTTTTAATCAATGGAAGGGCTTAGATTGTTTAATCATAAGTATGCTGACTGTTGCATATTGTGCTCCAAGATAATGATGCCTGTATCCTATGTGTGGGTACTCTTGAAATTATTCATAACCATTGGTTAGTGGGCATTAATGTCCTGGGCAGGTCTGTTAGTTGGACTTGCAAACTGTCAGGTCTGCAGAATTAAAGTTCTAGGTCTTAAACAAAGACTTGGCAAAGAGAAGGAAAAAATTTCTTATCTGCATATCGTTATTAAGTTTTTGGTTAGGTGCTAACTATAAAATATCTCCTTTGATGTATATGCCTTTCACCCCAGCCCATTGGTTCGTCACTCACATTTTTGCATGCAACTATGACACTAGTCCAGTGAAGAGCCTGCTTTTCATGTTTCTTTTGTATCCTTTGTTGTGCTACTAGTGCCTCCCATGAATTATTTGCATAGATTTTTTGTTGGAATGGTTTTTGAACTTGTCCCAAAAATTAGATGAATACCCAACATGCTACAGGAAAACATCTGCTGTTTTCATAAATAAATAGATATTTATAGCTCTCTTGTGGTTCATGTGTCTTAAGTTTGTTAGTCATAGCTTTGTTTAAACTTGCCATTTACTGTTTTGGTTTTTAAGTGTTCTCCCTGGATAGGAAACTTCTAATGTTTATAGCTTGGTAACAGGGCTCAGCTGAAGTTATGTATACAAGAAGAAGCGATGCATTTGCTGCTCTTAAGAAGTATAACAATGTTCTGTTAGATGGAAAGCCCATGAAGATTGAGATTGTGGGTCCTAATCCAGTGGTGCCTATTTCAGCTCGAATGAATGTTACTGGAGCAAATGGAAAGAAGAAGAGAACTGTTTTTACGACGTATGTGGTTTTTTGGCTTGTCTTTGTTCTCATTATTTGATTTGATGTTGCATTCTTCATCTGAATCTGTCACTCTATTAGGACCTTTTCTGGTCAACTATCAAATGTTTTGCATTTGCTATAGAACTTTTTAACTTTTTCATGGATAACTTGCTTTCCTTTTGTGCTTGAAGCTGGAATCCAAGCTTGCAAGAGTTTGTAGACTGCATGAGGTCACATTGCTTGTTGTCAGGGCTGTAGTTTGATTTCCTTTGACAATTTAGTTATGGCTGATTTTGTTGTTCAATAAGAAGGGATCAATAGCTTTGGTCTTTCAATGAGAAAATTAGCTTTTTATTCATGCATGTTTACTGGCTGTTTGGCTGGAGTCTTGGTTAACATGAAGACTGCATCTTTCACATTATGTCACTCTCTTGAACACTGTTTTCTGTTTGAAGGTGTGAAGGAAAGCATTACTTAGAAGCTTTTTCCTGAAGATGATAATTGTATTTTCAGAACACTTCCATTGATAGTTTGAAAATTATGCAGACCTGGACTAGGTGGTGGAAGAGGTGCTGGTGCAAATAATCGTGGTTCTGGGTAAGCTTTTTCTCCTTCATATGTGGCTGTTTTGCTTGTTGATTTAATTCCTTAAACATTCTTGTTTCTGTCTGTTCTTTGTTTAGTAGTTTTAATGTTAGGTTGAACAAAACTCCCTTGTTTCCCTTATTCTTGTCATGTCAGAGGTTTTATTTTTTTATTTTATATCTTTTTTTAAAAAAATTATGTGCTGTCTGTGTGCACAGTCAGAGTCGTCGAGGAGGTGGGGATCTAAGGAATGGTACGAGGAATGGCCGTGGTCAAGCTCCTGGCCGTGGTCGTGCTTCTGGACAAGGCCGTGGGAAGAAGCAACCTGTTGAAAAGTCAGTAGATGAGCTGGACAAGGAATTGGAAAGTTACCATGCTGAAGCCATGCAAACTTAATTTCGAAAGTTGTTCCCAACTAGACATAATCAGTTTGTGTTCATAGTCGCTAGTTCCACAAACTTGTTACTTGTAGTGATGTCTGTTGTTCCTTTTCTCGCTATCTTTTAACACTAACCTGGAAACTTTTTGTAACAGAGAATGTTGGTTGTCTTTCCAACTCATAATAGCCTTCATATTTTCTGGATTCTCTATATATTGTAGGTGCATGTAGTGTTATGAAGAGGCTAATATGACCATGCTAGACGCATCCTTATTTAACATGGGATTATTATACATCATACTTGTTAGAATGATTGTAAATCGAAACAAGGAAAGGACTTTTCATTTCTAGCTTGATCTCTTTGGAATTGGTGTGTTTGGTATTAAACATGGTAATATTCAATCAAGAATCATAATCCAAAAACTTGCGTATTTTTAAGAATGTGATATTTTGTTTGTTTTTTTTTTTCCAAAATATTGAAATCAAAATATGAAATTTTGGTCTTTGGTATGTCTTCGGTGATTAGGTCCCGTACGCCAACGGTCCTGATCAAGTATTTGACGCTTGGAGGTCAGACTGGTGCTCGAGAAATGAGGCGATGGGATGCCGCTAGGTAGGATTTCTGGGAGTCAGGTAGAGAAAAGGTGCCAGATGTTTTGGGTTGTATCATCCGTTCAATCGAGAATTAAGACGGAACAGAATGGAAGGATCACTCCTTGTATCTCTGAATAATATTACCATTGCTTTTACTAATTTGAAACAGAATTACAAAACAAAAAAGATGAAGAAAATGATACCAAACAACCCCAAAGTTTCTTCGTGTCTGTATGTGTTTTGATGAAACATCAAACAAGCTAACACACAAGAAGAGATGAGTTCAAAGCAATGCCAGCATCGATGCCTCAACATTCATTTAATTGGATGTTGGACAAGACATGTGTGCTTATGAAGATCTACTAGATTGAATGATAGATAACTTGTTTAGTAATCCAAGAACTTGTGTAATCATGGTTAAGACTTCCATGAACAAAACTAGTTCATCATCCTCCAACTTCATAGCATAGTAGCGTTGGTAGGATGAGAATTTATGTGATAATTTCTCCACATTGTGCGCCATATTAAGCATTGATGCCCAAGCAGTACGATTCTTTAAACAATTGCCCTTCATTCAGGTTGCAGTCTTGCTCCAAAAAATTGAACTTTAGAATTCTTTAACGCGACTAACAAGCCCTTACATGAGCAAGCATTAGGAAGGATGTGCATACAATTTCAAAGCCGATGCAATGTTTTCACAAGGGCTTTCTTTTTCATCCTTGGCTTTTTTTGCACTCTAGGCAAGATTTTGCATCTGAGAATGACAAATAGCATGAACAAATCCAATGAAAAACCCCTTCTGAGCGAGAGAAGCACCCAAAGAACAATAAAGACGAAGGGTGGGGGTGCATTTCCGCCCCGGTTCCCCATCTTCTCCCATTGCTGCAAACCAGGGGTTGTATGGCATCTTAGCAGGAGTTGTACACAAGATATACACACACTTTCAGCTTACTAAAGGTCGAATGAAAGAATAAATTGTATTCATGAAGGTTGGCCACCAGAAATGTTGTGAGTTGGAGCAGATACTTTGTTTAAAACAAGGTGTCCTGACTCGCTCTTCTTGAAAAGATTTTTAACCACTTCATCCCAGTTAGTCTTTGTGCCAGTAGAGATCGATTTGAATTGTGAAGCCTGGATGCCTTCAGACAGTGAAGGCTCTGTCCTGTTATCCTTCAAGGGTTCTACATCTGGGGTGGTCACAGCATGAGGAATATTTAAACTGACAGCTCTTTCCAATGCATCCCTGTGTTCTTGCTCAACTGTCTGCATCCTTTCCAATTTCTGTACTTTTGGAGGAGTTGTAATGGTTCCAGAATCAATTTCCTTCATTTTCTGTGGAAAATCAATACCATTAACCGTCAGTAAAATGTTCAACAAATAAAGAAGTTGAGCCCTGGAAATTAAAGGGCAAAAGAAAAAAAATATCTCCCTCTGGTGTTACTTGTTCTGATACAATTACCCTTATAAATCTCAAGGGAAGCAATTTTATGTAAAGAACTACTACAGAATAGCAGTATTTAAATTGGACTGATGAAACAGGGATTAGAAATGTCAATGCCCTGTGGGGTAAGAAGCATCTATGCCTGACTTGTGTAAATGAGGAGAGTGGGGGGACGCCTGTCCCCAAGGAGAAAAACGTATCAAAATATCATATTTGAATAAATCAAGCAGAAACACATTATATGCAGTTAATACAAAGTTGCACGCAAAAGCCGTGGGCTGGCATGTGTATCTGTAGGGAGGAAGGAAGAAAGACCAAACACATCACCAAATCCAAATGGTTCAAATGCTTGATCCAAATGATCTTTGAATGGGAAAAATGAGGGCACGTACTCAGATAAATGGCTAATTCCAGGTAGAAAAACTTTTGCAGTATGATACTAAAAGGTAAAACTATTTATTTTATATTGTTCTATAAAACGCTAGTGAACAGACCAAGCTTTTACTGCTCTAACTTGCTAGATGATTATAAATGAAATGAAACATATACATACTATCAAAAGGAAAAGACTTACCTGCAAGGCTTTCTCTGATTCCCTTTCTATCCAAATAATTCCATGATCAGATGTGGCATTACATGACAAGACAATGTGTTCAAACCTTCCATCTACCGGAATGGCAGTTCTGACCTCTGGAGGAAACCTCCCACATCTGTGGCAACAAGAATAAGGAAAAATTTTCAGGACAAGCACGAGTGTTTTCAGTGAGAATTATACCATCAATGTTCTCAAGGGAGAGAGGAAATTACTATGAATCAAACACCAAATTAAGGAGAATGTAGTTATTTTCAAACCCAATTTTAACACAAGGATGGTAAAAGTTCACTTTTTTTAAAAAAGGTGCTGGTTAGCTGAATGATTAAACTGCATTCTTATCATTTTACAATCAATAATTGGGAAACTGAATGGATTATAAGTTAATAAAAGAGCATCTTGATGCAGACCGTCTAACAGTTGGTTTGTATGATTGTTATTGAGAGAGACAGAATAAGGAGGGATGAGCAATAATAGAAGATCATAGATTATAAAGGTAATACCTATTTTAGCAATAAGAGGATGTCAAAAGCAAAATATGGTCTATAAATTTGATCAAAATTGCAAATTATGCATGTGAATGCTTTGCAATAAAAAATTTGCTAGTTTTGTATACTGCTTAGGGCCATGGTAGGCTAATGCATTTTGTTAACAGAGCTGATAAATTGAACATGTTACCTGCAAAATCTTCTCTCTACAATATGATACATTCGTCCAGGGGCATAAAATCTTCTTGAATCTCTGAGCTTTCTACCTTCTGGAATGAAGGTATCTCTCAAACAAACCAAAAGCAACAAGCAGGGCAAGCTGTACAAAGGATCAACACCTCGTTTAAGAGATAATAATAGGAACTCACTCCACTAAGTTTACGAGGATGAGGATTTGTATCCAAAATGAAAGGCACAGATAGCCTCTACAATGACATGGACATAAGAATACCAACCAGAAGATTGACTTAAAGATGTCTTCCAATGGAGTAGCTGTTCTTGGTAAGAAATCATCCTGGATAAGAGCAATATGTTTACATCAAGGTAGTGCCTTTAACACTGAAATAGAGTGATCTAAGCAAATTACAACATTATTACAACGCGGATTCAAAGAATAACATGAAATATCTAGTACTGGCATCCTAATTACTTTCACAAAAATATGGTTGATTATGGCACACACTCAAAGAATGTTGATTTGTTTCATTTTATTTAGCTGGGAGGCAAGGTACTAACTGCACCATTCATCAACTTATTACGTCCTAAATTCAGCCCATCATACAATACGAAACACAGATAAATTCGATTCGGCAGCAACCAGGCATTTAAGATATGAAAGCACCAGATAAAATGAAACATCCAACACCTCTTTAAACGACAGTTAACTGCAAAGTCCTACAATTGCCTTAAAAAAAAATTCAAACCCGAAAGATCTTATCAGAAAATTAAACATAAATCAAAATTTTGACCAATCAGCATCAGAGAAAAATACACAAGACAGTCAAAACTAGTAGCCTTCATTGGCATCACAGGTCAAACAAAATCACAGAACCAAATAAATCAATAAATACCAAACAACCAAATAACACAATCCATCGACAAAACTAACCTGCAAGATAACAGAGCGAATAACATCAGCATACTTAACAGCCAAATTAAGAGACATGCACCTTGCCGGAGCCATAGCATAACACCTAATCTTCTCTCTAGGAATCCCACCTAACCTATCTCTATGATTAACCACTATAACAGTTAACAAAGCCACTACACCAGACCCTAAAGAATGCCCAGCGAAAACCATATCATACTCTTCCCCACTCTCCTCCCACAACCTCTTCAATGTCTCCCCTTCTTCATTCAATAACCAAACAGCAGACTTCAACAACCCATGATGCACAAAACCTCCATCAAACATCTGCATTCCTAATCTATTATCTAACAACGTTTTATAATCACTTTCTTTGTATAAATTCAATCCCCTAACAGCCAAAACAATCTCTTTATTTCCATGGTCTGTGTAAATTACGTATGGAGGGGCCCGCCCTTGTGTTTGTTCATAAGTTACACGTTTGATAACCCAATCAGGGTTTATTCGGAAACCATGTTGAGGAATGAATTGAGGGTTGTGAAGGTCTGGTTCGTAGACAGCAAGGACTAAACGGCACATACGAGGGATTGGTTCAAACTCTTCTGGTGATGCTAATGTCCAGTTTGCACTGTCATTACCACTGATGTATGTGCAACGTTTCCAAACCCAGCGCGCAAAGCCTAATATAACTACACATTCTACTCCACAACAGAGAGACATCTTTTCCGAATGGTTTTAGGTTTGGAGAGGGATTTGTGAAGTGGGATTTCTACAGATTTGGAAAAGACTGGAGCTTTCAAGAGAAAGGTGTGATCTTGGAATTGGAAAAAAAAAACTAGAGAGATAGAGGTTTTGAAGAGAAAGGAAAGAGCTTTTTGAAGGTAAATAGCTGCAACGTACAGAGACACTCACAGAGAGAGAGAGGGAGGTAAATAATTGAGAGAGGTAGATAATTGGGTGTGTGCAGGGAGGGAGGGGGGCTGATAATTGCTTGGAATTTATGAGAAGAGTTTGGAGAGAGAGGGAGGAGGAATGGGGAGGAAAGTTGTGTTTGAGAGGGGAAAGTTTCAAGAAGAAGAGAGAGTGAGAAGGTGGGAAAGGCTTAGAATCATTGGAAAGAATGTTTATCATATAAGCCCACATGAAAAGGAAGCTTAGTGTTAGCCATATACGACAGTGAAAACAGTAGGATACCAATTTATAGAGAGCGAAGAGAGTGGAGGGAGGAAGGGATGCTAGAAGGAAGAGGATGGTGGAGTGGGAAGCTCAAGCGGGCGGAGGAGGGTGGGTGTGAATTGTGTGTTGTCTTTTGTGCTATCTATTGAATTTTTCATATATTATTTGCTTAAAGGCGAAGGATGATGAAAGACTGTGAACTGTGAAGATGCTGGGTGCTTGTCTTGAGGCTTTGGCACAACAACAGGAAGGATGCAAAGAGATTAATCTATTAGATTTTCTAGAAAGCTTCATTGCATGTTAGGATAGGTGTAAAAATGGGGAATATAATGCCTTTTGGATACAATTTTGTCATTAAATTAAAATAGGAACTCGTGCTCTTGACTCAAACAGTACAGAGAACAAGAAAGAAAAATTTGAAAATATATTTTTTTAATAAAAAAGAAAATCATTATCACTTTTTGGAGAAATTGATATGATTTTCTCTCTCTTCTATATTGTAAGTTCAGTTAATATAGATTATAGAATGAGTATCATAAGAATTCTCAGAAAATGTTATTGATAATAGCAAGACAATTACAATCAGCTCATCGTTTACATAAATTGATGTTTTTACAGTGTTTTTTAATAATTTTAATGTGTTATTATTAAAAAAATTAATATATTTTTTTAAAATATTTTTTATTTTTAAAAACCATATCACCCCGAATTACAACACCAACACACATGAAATAATTAAGAAAATTTAAGAAAAAGACAGTACATAATGTTTGACCATCTTCTTTCATTAGGTGAGAATATATTCTCCTGGTTGTCTCATTGTGTGGATTACTTGATTTTCTCTTCTTTTTTTAATATTAATCTTGATTAAAGTGAGTGATATGAGAATGTTATCTTGTTCTTGTTGGTATGGGAAGTAAGAGAGATTTTCAAGATGAATTTAATTTTATAAAATAGTATTAATATTGCTTCCGACTTAGAAGACAAAATTCAAGATTTTAGACCTTATTATTCTTAATTTGAATGGATTCATGATGTTGATCAAACACAAGAGCCACTATGCTGAGTTGACTTGATGAAATGATGTATAGTTTAAACATAAATTCGAGCGATTAATTATCTTCATGAGCTAGAAATTAATTCAATAACCAGTAATTAATTCTTCATCGTGTGGACATATTTATACTTGACAAGGTTTAAATCCCACAGGAAATCAACAGTAATTAAAGGGAAATTCTGTGATCAATTAAAATCTTATATATTTGGTATAAATTAAAGCAATATATGTGGCAAACTGACCATGAGAATTTAATCAAAATCAAGAGCAATATTGCCCTAGTTTCCTTGTTGGTGAGAACAATGATCTCTTCATTGGATTGACCTACGAGGAGAGTATTAAATTATGATTTTTCCTCTTCCCCTCCAAAATTAAATATTAGCCTACCAAAGCCATTCAGCATGCAGATTGTCGATCACAACATTTCTTCGTACTTGAAGAAGGAATATGCTCCAATCCCAGAAAATTTGGTAAATTCATGCAACTTCCCTTCTAGGGTTTGCCCATGCACATGTTTTTATTCCAAACCTTAATGACATTGCACGCATTCTATTTATGTAGAGCACAATTATTAGATTTGGTTTGTTCTTGATTCAAGACCTAATTGAACTACAATTAGGCTACGTTGGGTTAAAAAAACTAAATAAAAGTTAGTTTAATTAAATTTAAATAATATGATTATTCAATTCGATAATTCGATCAAAATCTAATTTTATTAATCATCTAGGTGGTGACCAAGTGGTAAAGACTTGAGACTAAGGGGTTTGCTCTCTTTGTGGTCTCAAATTCGAGTCCTTGGTTGCTCATATGATAGCCACTAGAGGCTTACATGGTCGTTAACTTCAGGGTCCGTGGGATTAGTCGTGGTACACGCAAGCTGGCCCGGACACCCACGTTAATCTAAAAAAAAAAATCTAATTTTATTATTTTAAAAAATAAAAATATAATATTTTAATTAATGCAGATTAATACACTCAATCTCCCGTGATTGGATATAGTTTAATTAGTTTGGTGTAAGGAACAAGAATCTGTCTTCATATTGTCCCAAAGCAAAATAATATAGATAAATGCAAAGATATGGAAAAGGCAAGAGGCTCAAGAAGCCGGATGCCATCCCTTGAAGATTTGCAGTTGTCCGGCTCTAACTCTCTCACCATCTACTGAATTTTTAACCAATTTTTTACATGACACAAGTGAAATATAAAACTTGTTTATTTTTGTGGTGGTATTATATTTAAAAATAAATTTAAAAAAATAAAAAAAATATTATCTTAATATATTTTTAAATAAAAAATACTTTAACCTCTATGGCTATCTTAATAAATTAAATTATGCCTAGTTTATTAGCCTAAAAACAAACAAGCAAATAAAAACAAGAAATGAATCAACAAACAAGAGAAGATACAAGAAAGGGGGACAGTTCAACAACTACCGAATCCAGACCGTTAAAAGACACCGATGAATTCATTTCCGTTAAAGTTAGGTTTCTTACAATTGAGTTTCTAGAACCCATTGTTGTTTTACAAAAATAACACGTCGACTTGTTAACTATGGGTGTAGCCTTGAAGGGCATGTATGGGTTTGTAAATTCATGTAATTCTCTTCGTTTTATATTCATACGTACCTAGTAGATCTGTGTTTTTTCATCAGCTGCCATTTAATTTGTAAGTGGAGAAATCCATTCAAGAATTTAAAACATAAGTGATGATGACGATGATGATGATACAAGCTTCATAGATTGCATTATATAAAATTGTTAATATTCTAGGATATGCATAATTTAAAATTGTTACTGAAATATAATACATATGAATTACATACTATCTGTTAAAAAAGTAAGATATCAAAATATAATTTATATTATTTTATAATACATTGTTGAAGTAAAAAAAATTTAGTAGATTTATGTTGCTTTACACTTAATTTTTATCAAATAAATATAAATGATAATACTCAAATTCGTAACCACTTAATTATCGAGATTTTAATACTATATCAAAAAACTAATTAAATTTAATATTTTAAACTTTTATATAAGATTTTAAAATATAATTTATATTATTTATTAAAATTATCTACAACTTAAAAAATTTCCATTATAAGTTAGGAATATTATTTTTTTCTACTAGGGAGTCTAGATCTCTCATTGGGATTCTATATTTACAACAACGCAAGGCTAATATTTCAGAAAATAATAATTTATGTAGCAAACTTGATGTACAAGAATGAGAACATAAATGGAAAGCAGCAAATTTTAGGAATAATATTATGTTTAAGTTATTAAATCTAAAAACTAATGATTAAAAACCATATATGAATGTTAGAACGTGCTTGTTTAACACATCATTGGAGATCTAAATAATTTTAAAATATACCATTCTTTATACTAACAACGACTGTCCCAAGAAATCATACAGCTTAGTAGTAAAATCCATTCTAGCAGGAAAAAAGAGCAACTTTTTCATCAACTATTTTCAACTACGTATAACAATGGGCTATTCTAGTTTTGCCCATTTAAGCTGAACATCACCTTGGGTAGACAAAACTCTGAGAATTATTTGACAGCTTTTAACTCAGAGACACTTCTTTGTGAAGATTTGTTCAGCTACTGCTAAGACCTACTCACTCTACTCGACATCCCATTTCAACGTTCTGGTCTTGATTTCATTCAAGAGGGGAAAAACGTATTCCCAAGTTTTCTATAAAGTCCACTGTATTTAGCATGAAAAAGGGAGGTAATCATGCCTGTGATGTTTCTTGAAGTGTTTAGTCGAGTAAATCAGTGAACAACGCCATTGTTACCTAGAGCAAACACCTAACCAAACTAATATTGCTGACACAGTAAGACGAGTTGGCCAACTGCTAGAAGAGGCCACCAACCTTCCAAAACTTGAGAGGTTGCACTCACTAAAATGTGACCTCTATGCACAGAGTATCACCTATATATGATTTTGAAATTAATCACCTAATACCTGAAAACTTGAGGAGCTGGGCATGACTAAACAGGCAGTGGATATGGCACTGAACCCAGTATAAATCCATGCCAATGATTCTCCACTCCTGAAGCAAGCACAAGCGAGTGAAGATTGGCAGACAATGGCAATACTAGGACTGGCTTTGGCTGCTTTCATTCTTGCAGCAAAGGCAACAACATTGGCATCAGCTGCTTCACTTGTCACATATATTTTTGGTGACTCATTGACAGAAGTTGGAAACAATAAGTATCTTCAATATTCTCTTGCAAGATCTGATTATCCGTGGTATGGGATCGATTTTTCTGGTGGACAGGCAACAGGAAGGTTCACAAATGGGAGGACTATTGGTGATATAATTTGTAATGCTGCTACTAATTATCTTACAAATCAAATGTAAAACTCAGAGTTCTAAGAATTAATGCTTGTTGGACTAACTTTTTTTTTCTTGCTGTTTCTTTTTCTTTTTTTCTTGGTGGAATTTGAAGCTGCAAAACTAGGAATTCCCTCACCACCACCTTACCTTTCTTTGTCAAAGAATGATGATGCATTACTTACGGGGGTTAATTATGCATCTGGTGGAGCAGGAATTCTTAATGAAACAGGATTATATTTTGTATGTTTGTTTTCTCTGCAGAAGAATCTATTTTGCTTAGAAGTTCTTGACAGCTTACTCTAAGTGCAACATAACCACACTTGTATTGTATTTAACCCCCCCTTTTTTTCTTTTTTGCTAATTTTCTGTATTGCAGATTCAGAGATTGTCCTTTGATGATCAGATAGAGTGCTTTAAAAAGACTAAGGAATCAATCAAGGCTAAAATAGGAGAAGATGCTGCCAACAGACTTTGCAATAAGGCCATGTACTTCATTGGTCTTGGTAGGCATGCTTTGACAATTGAATGTATTGGTGATTCAGCTCCTTTTGCTAGGAAAAAAAAACAGGGATGACAATTTATCTTTGGGGTTATCTTTGCAGGCAGTAATGACTATGTCAACAATTATTTACAGCCCTTTTTAGCAGATGGTCAGCAGTACACACCTGATGAGTTTGTGGAACTCCTGATATCTACACTGGACAAACAGCTTTCGGTAAAGAATACCTTCTCTAACTCTCTTTTCTTAAAATGTTTCCTGTGGTTTTGGTAGGTTTTGAAAACAATTATCTAAGCAATAAGCCATACATCATGAAACTTGATTATGCCAGATGCTATACCAACTGGGTGCCAGAAAGGTTGTCTTTCACGGGCTTGGCCCTCTTGGCTGCATTCCTTCTCAGAGGGTGAAATCAAAGACAGGTCGATGCTTAAAGAGAGTAAATGAGTATGTGTTAGAATTCAACTCCAGAGTTAAGAAGCTGATCGCCACTCTAAACCAACGATTCCCAAATGCAAAACTAGCATTTGCAGATACGTACGGAGATGTTTTGGACTTGATTGATAATCCCACTGCTTATGGCAAGTTCAACCATCTTTTAATCATTTTATCCTACAGATACTTGAACTAGCTCTCTTCCCTGAGCAATTCTTGTTTTATTTTTCAGGCTTCAAGATCTCCAACACTTCATGCTGCAACGTGGATACCACCATAGGTGGTTTATGCTTGCCTAACTCAAAACTATGCAGCAACCGGAAGGACTACGTGTTCTGGGATGCATTCCATCCTTCTGATGCAGCAAATGCAATACTAGCAGAAAAGTTCTTTTCCACCCTGTTCTCAGGCCCGCCATCTATGGCACCAACACCTTCTCATTGATTTTTACCTCTGAGAACACCAAAGTTGAATCCATGGAGCTGCGGCAATCCCTGTAAAGCGAACAAGGGCTCACCCATCTATCAATATTGCGTTTTTTTGATGAAGAGACAAACACTATATTCCATACAAATGCTTGTACGAATTATTTCCATTGTGAGAAAATGTACTTCTGAGAACTAATTCCAATTAAAAATTTGTTTGAATAGTAAATAAAGTATGATATTTTTATAAAAATATTTTTAAATTAAAAATATATCAAAATTATTTTTTTATTAGCATATCAAAACTATATATTGTCTATTTATAAATGAAAACCTCAAAACCTCAAGATACCTAAGAAATAATTTGATGCTTGGAGATGTTACTTAATTTTGCAAAATAAAATTTAATATTATTAGTTTATAATAATTAAAGTCGTGAGTCAAATTCAAGACATTGAAAATTGGATTTTAAGGCCAAGACAAATATTTTTGTCCCTTTTTTTCCAGTATGTCTTTTCTTCTTATTTTTTTTTTAATTTGGCCCTCCTATTTTCTTTAATAATAGATTTAATAATTTATGTTGAGTGGCAAAATATAGGAATCTCGCGCAATGTCAGGGAAAAACTCTAGTATTCGGTTGGCACTAGTTTGTGAAAAATATGTTTGAATTATGTTAATTTAGAGCAATTAGAAATTTAAGGACCAAATTAGATTCCAAATCAAATATGAGGGGATATAGCTACCAAGTAGTGCAACTTTGGCTGGCAAAAGCAGTGGCTGGGCCAGAGCAAGGGAGGCCGAATTGCTCTAGCGATGTTTTAAATTCATAATCCAGATTCCAGCGTAACTAAAATCATTTAATTTGATATCATTTTAATATTAAAAAATTATTTTTATTATTCATCAAAATTATTTTTAAATCCATTAAATTGAATAAGAAATCAAATGGACAAACCATTTAATTGAATTTAATAATATTACAAAAAAAATCTTCATACTCCCAACACTTTTTTAAGTTTTTAAAAAATAATTTTAAAAACTAAAAAATAATATTCATAAATTCACTGGTTGAGGAACAAAATATACATCACAAGAATCGATTGCTCTTAGTTAAAGGCCAAAGGTGTCCACATGAGAGAGCTCGAGAAAGGGCAATCCTATTTTTGTTCAAGCCAAAGAGAAACTTGTTTGTAATCCTTGACAGAAGCCTTCTTCTTTCCTCTATGGAAGAGAGATCGCAAGACAACCTCCACTCTCATAGAAAAGAGAATCACTAAGCACCCATCAAAGAGAACAAGCAGTATACTTCTTTGGGTTAAACAAAAGGAAATTTATTTAGAATCCCCAAATCTCTCAAGTCTCCTTCTTTCAGTGTGGTTAAAGCAAAATCAATCATCATTGAGCAATCTTCAAATATCATACCACAAAAATGATAAAATCAATCAAATTAAACAAAAGGGTATTTGATTAAAATAGAAGCAGATCTTCAATGCCCAAGTCTCTAAAGTCTCCATCTTTCCCACATCATAAAAACAACGAAAGTAAACAAAAGGGTAATGGGAAATGTGGTGAAAAACAGAACAATCAAACCCAAAAACCTCTAACTTCTCAATCTTTCACATATTAAGAACAATGGTAAAAAAAATCATATTAAGAAAAAGGGTAGGGAGGGGATTTCAAAATAAAAAGCGGGATTCGTGAGAAAAAGCCAGGATTCATACGAGGATTTTGAGATCTGCTTGTCCAATAAGTACCATGTTGATTTTGCACCATTTGGTATTCTATGAGATACAACGTGAGTTGAATCATATAGAATCGTAGTTAAGATGCTTTAGTAAATTGAAAATGAACAAAAAAGAGATTAGACAAAGGATAGAGGAAAAAAGATGATACTGACGCTTGCAGGGAAAGATGAGGAATTAGGATTTCAGTGGCTGCGGAGAGATTATAGTATATTTATAGTGAAAGCAATTAGGGATTGGTATTCTTCCGAACGCACCGTTTTTCTTTTTTATTCATTAAGGGTGTCTTTGACAGTGTATTCATGCAAAGTGATTTTTATTTATAAATATATTAAAATAATATTTATTTTTATTTTTAATAATAACATATTAAAACAATTTAAAATCTAAAAAATCTAATATTCCGGTTAAAACGCTCCCCAAACACCCTTATCATCCTCATGTAACCTACTTAAAATTATTTTTTTAGATTTTTTATTTAAAATTAATTTTTTATTATTTTGATATATTAATATCAAAAATAATTTTTTTATACATTTCTAAGCTAAATTTATTTTTTTAAATAGCTACCAACATACTTTTAAACACTCTATTAGATGCTGAGCTTACTTGAGTTTCCTCTTGAACTAAATTGAAAGTTAGGCTAAACCTATTGAGACAACAAATCAGTCCCAAGTCATTTGATTGGTTAAGGGGAGACTTCTCGGGATAAACTCCAATTATGTTTTAATTTTCTTTTATTAAAATAATTTTTTTGTCCAATGATATAGTTTTGTTTTTTTTTTTAAATAAACAATATGGTCTCGTGATAGATTTAAATTGACACAATTAACTCATAGTGAACAACATACTTTTAAACCTTTGGTTTGAATTTTTTTTAATTCAAATATATATATATATATATATATATATATATATATCTTTATTTTTCAGATAATGATTTTATCACTCAATGGTGGTCGTCATGTATAAACTAGTATAGAAAACATATACTTGGCACTAAAAATGAATATTTTAATTTCGGTTTTCATTTAAAAATATATCTCAACTAATTTTTTTAATTAAAAATAAAAATTGAATAGAAACCAATTAATTTTGATTCGGTCAGTTAATTAAAGTAAAAGACCTGAAAAAACCAAACCAGCCATCATTTTTGTCTCCAACAAACCGAAGAAACACAAACCCGTCATCTTCCAAAAGATCAACCAAGGACTTCAAACAGCTGTTGACGGTCAGGGGTTTGGAACCTTCTCTTGTCTCAGGTTGATAAATCTTCTCAATTGAAAGATCCCGGATTATATACACATTTTAGTTGAACAGGTCTAATTCTAATTCTTCTGTTTCAAAGCAAAGTACGGTTGGTCCTCTTCAGATGTTCACGACCAAGAAGTACTAAATTCTCTTCAAGATAGATTGTGAAAAGAGGAGGAGAAGGCAGGCTGGAATGCCAACAAGCGTCTATTGTCGTCTCAGATCGATAGATCTTTTTAATTGGAAGATCCGATAATACCTATTTTATTTTGGAAACATAACAAGACTAGTGCCAAAGTCACTAAATAGGAAGTCTTTAGTGTCTGATTCAAGACTGCCTGGGAAGCTGATCAGTGAATGCCGA